TCATGAGCTTGGGTAGCATTCTGTACAGTGATGATGCGCATACCACTCTTAAGAGCATGAAAAGAAATATCTTTGCCAACATGGCGTAGGAGTGCCTTGCCAATACTGTGGTCGGAAAGATAGGCAGTAGAGGAAGTCGGTCGTAAAGTGAAGAATTTAGTCCATTGTGCATTCTGAAACTGAGAATGGAAAGGGAGTGCAGGACATATCGATCTTTTCTGAGAAGAACGAGAAGGTGGAGAAGTATCATCAGCAGGTAATTGTCATTGGCGTTTAGGCATGGGACCAGAGTTGGTCTGACGTGGAACGGGCCGGCGATTCAAAAACTGCCGCACCGTATAGGAAGAGGCCGGAAGTATAGTCAAAGGAGAGCGGAGGTCAGATAAATCGAAGGAGTCAGTCGAGACCTCAGTACCTGAAGCGGGTGAGGAAACAGCACCGGCAAGAGGTACAGAAGCATGAGGAGTGTCCGAAGAGTGGTCCAAAGACGAGGCGGGGTCAGAACAGGGTGCAGTATTAAGAAAGGGCCCGGGGGTAGCAGGTTCATGGACTAGGGCTGCCATGGTTAGGTTACTTCTTTCTTTTTGCTTTAAGAAAAAAAAAGAAAAGAAAAACAAAAAATTATAAAAAAAGGGGGACCAGAGAGGGATAGTTCCTAGGAGGAATGAAAGGGCCAGAAATCTCCTTCCGCGCCCAAGAGGACCTCAGCAGCGCAAGTAGCGCAGATGCAGCATGGAACCCGTGCCATACCCTACCCTTCATGCCAGTAAACCAGCAATCCGGGATAGCAACCTCACATCTACCGAGCTACCTCGGTGGACAAAAGAGAGGGCGGCCGGATATCTGCCACAAAGCATACCTCCTTCGGCCACCACCCCCAGAATCTGAAAGGTGGCTTCCAGAGATACACCCGTCGCCCAAGAGACACCCAAAACCACCCTCCGGGATACCGGAGAGGGATCGGGACATCCCCAGGCAATCCAGACTCCACGGCAAACTACACCACTGCCAAGAACCTCAACGGAATGGGATGGACCCCGGTACCCTTTCCCCTACCTAGGAACTAGCGTGCCTGTGGGAAAAAATCCCAAAGGCCAAAAAAGGAAGGGCAAAAGGGAGGGGTGGGGAGGAGGAGGAAAGGAAAAAGGGGAGGATGGGGAGGATGGGATAGGGAAGGGGGGATTGGGGGGTAATTAGGTTTGGTCTGAGGAATTAGACCTGTTGGTCTGAGGAAGGAGACCAACAGGTCTAATTCCTCAGACCAAGATCCTCTTCACCACAGCACGGATCCCCCCTTGAAGAGGAGGGATGTCTGAGCCCAGGACAGCAAAAGAATTAGATACAGGAGTGACTATGGGACTGGCAACAGCAGAGGAGGCTGCAGATGGGACCCCAGAAGTAGGAGGACGTTTTGAAACCTGAGAATAAGAAACCTGGGTAATCTCCCTTGGAGGCAGAGATGAGAAACTGCCATAGCATAAGGGAGACCTTCTGCCTCTTTAAGGCAACAAATTTCCCGCTCATTTAAATAGACCTGGCAACGGCGAGAGTACAAAGGGTGAGCCTCATGACAATTAAGGCAAGAGCGAGGTCGACTGCAAGATGTATTAGAATGGTCATCAACACCACAGACTGGGCATTCGGCTATAAATCTGCAATATTTTGCTGGGTGGCCAAATCGCCAGCAATTCCTACACTGTTGTGGTGCAGGGATCACCTTCCAAACTTGTAACCAATGTCCTGCTACATAAACAGAGGATGGGAGTTCACGGCTGTCAAAAGTTAAATGAGCCACATTGCTAGGGTATCGTCTTCGCCCGCGGGCGGGAAGAACATAAGTGTCTACCTTGAGAATTGGGAGATCTTGGAGTTCCAGCTGATCGAGAATGTCATTGCCACATGTCTGGAAATTCTGTTGGACTATGGTATGGGGCAGAATAACAGTACCACAAGAATTGAGGGAATGATGTTTTTCAATAGTGATAGGAATAGTATCGATATGTGAAAGAAGAGAAAGATCATGAGCTTGGGTAGAATTCTGGACTGTGATGATGCACGTACCACTCTTAAGAGCATGAAAGAAAATATCTCTACCAATGTGGCGTAGGAGCGCTTTGCCAATACTATAGTCAGAAAGATAGGCAGTAGAAGAACTCTGTCATAAAGTAAAGAATTTAGTCCATTATGTGGTCCAAAACTGAGTGTGGAGAGGGAGTGCATGACGTGTCGGTCTTTTCCGAGTAGAATGGGAAGGTAACGAAGTAACATTGTCTGGAGATTGTCGTTGGCGTTTAGAAGTGGGACCAGATTCGGTCCGATGTGAGACAGGCTGGCAATTCGAAAATCATCGCACCATAGAGGGAGAGGCCGGAAGCATAGTCAAAGGAGAGCGGAGGTCAGACAAATCGAAGGAGTCAGTGGAAGCCCCGGTACCTGAAGTGGGTGAGGAAACAGCACCAGCAAGAGTAACAAAAAAAAATAACAAAAGCAAGAGGTACAGGGGCCTTGGGAGTGTCCAAAGAGTGGCCAAAAGACGAGGCAAGGTCAGAACAGGGTGCGGTAAAAATAAGGGGCCTGGGGGTAGCGGGGTCATGGATTTGGGACTCCATGGTAAGGTTACTTCTTTCTTTTTGTCTTTAACCCTTTGAGGGTCGACAGGCCCTCTCAGAAACTTGTTCTCAGGGTCGGCCAAATTTCAAAAAAAAAAAAATTATTTTTTCTTATGAAAAAATAGTTTTTTTTCTAAACATTATAGGATAAACAAAAAATTTTTACCATCAATACTTACGGAGATATGGAGGCATGAAGTTTGCAGAAAATGAGCCGCATATGGCAACAGCGGCGACTGCCGCTCACCGGTAAACTTTGGTTTACTTGTATTTGAAGGTTTGTTGTTTTTTTCACTATTTTATTTTTTCACATAACTTATGTGGCCTATGAGACCAAAGTAAGGTGCAATGTACATATATACACTCATTGTATACAACACAATAAGCACACAAACATAATTATCAATATATTGTTTACAAAACTTGTTTACAAAAACAAACAATACAAAACATTGTTTATTATTATTGTTCTATAATATATATACCAATATACAGTCACTGAACATATTCCTAGAAGTTCTGCAGCTTGTGGAACTCTTTGAAACATGGTGTCATACACAATGGTGTTTTATCTTTCTCCCTCATTCTATCTCTTTCAATCTGTCTCTCTCTTTCTATCTCTGTCTGTCTATCTCTGTCTCACAGATACACATAAATACAAGTATACATAGTATAAATTACCTAGGATAACCCAAGAAATCCAGACAAAGTGCTATACTCTGCTTGAAGATGTGAGTAAAAGTGATGACGTGGTCTTGTGGCTCTCTGAGACAGAGAGCTAGATGGATAAACAGATAGACAGGGAGCTTGACAGACAGACAAATAGACAAAAATGTTAGTGTACCAGCAGAAACAAAGGGAGGGCGATGTTCATCTAATCTTTTCTTATCAGTTCCACCCTCGTTTACGCTCATCAAAAGTCATCTCTTATCAGATGTTATCTCCCCTTATCTTGTCACTGTCATGGGGTGGACTTTTTTTTTTCTTGCTTCAAGGGAAAAATATTATTACATCATCTTCTTCCTCTTCTTCCTCCTCCTCCTCTTCCTCATCCTTCTCCTCTTCTTCCTCTTCCCCCTACTCTTCCTCCTCCTCTTCTTCCTCTTCCTCCTACTCTTCCTCTTCCTCTTCTTACTCCTCCTCTTCCTCCTCCTCCTCCTCTTGCTCCTCCTCTTCTTCCTCTTCCCCCTACTCTTCCTCCTCTTCCCCCTACTCTTCCTCATACTCTTCCTCTTCCTCCTCTTACTCTTCCTCCTACTCTTCCTCTTCCTCCTCTTCCTCTTCTTCTCTCTTCCTCCTACTCTTCTTACTCCTCCTCTTGCTCCTCCTCTTCCTCTTCCCCCTACTCTTCCTCTTCCTCCTACTCTTCCTCTTCCTCCTACTCTTCCTCTTCCCCCTAATCTTCCTCCTATTCCTCTTCCTCCTCCTCTTCCTCTTCTTCCTCTTCCTCCTCCTCTTCTTCCTCTTCCTCCTACTCTTCCTCCTCCTCTTCCCCCTAATCTTCCTCCTACTATTCCTCTTCCTCTTATTCCTCTTCCTCCTACTCTTCCTCTTCCTCCTCCTCCTCTTCTTCCTCTTCCCCCTACTCTTCCTCCTTCTCCTTCTCCTCCTCCTCCATAGTGTAAATTACCAGGAGTCGGCAGCTGTCAAAATGACATATTGTCTCATTACTCACTCCCCCTCCCGCCTGTCAAAACAATGGGGTCGGACGCTGCTTCCCCTCCTCCATTCTATCTAATTATCTTTCTCCCTCATTCTATCTCTTTCTATCTGTCTGTCTATCTCTGTCTCACAGGTACACATAAATACAAGTATACATAGTATAAATTACCTAGGATAACCCAAGAAACCCAGACAAAGTGCTATACTCTGCTTGAAGATGTGAGTAAAAGTGATGACGCAGTCTTGTGGCTCTCTGAGACAGAGAGCTAGACGGATAGACAGGGAGCTTGACAGACAGGCAAATAGACAGACAGACAAATGTTAGTATACCAGCAAAAACAAAGGGAGGGCGATGTTCATCTAATCTTTCGGTATCAGCTGCACCCTCATTTACCCTCATCAAACGTCAGCACTTATCAGATGTTATCTCCCCTTATCTTGTTACTGTCATGGGTGAACATTTATTATTACATATTATTATTATTATTACTTATTATTATTATGTATTATTATTATGTATTATTATTATTATGTATTATTGTTATCATTACGTATTCTTCTTCTTCTTCCTCCTCCTCCTCCTCTTCTTCCTCCTCCTCCTCTTCTTCCTCCTCCTCCTCCTCTTCCTCCTCCTCCTCTTCTTCCTCCTCCTCCTCTGCCTCCTCCTCCTCTGCCTCCTCCTCCTCTGTCTCCTCCTCCTCTGCCTCCTCCTCCTCTTCTTCCTCCTCCTCCTCCATTCTTGGAACAAGTTTGAAGAGCTTGTAGTTCATAATCACTATCACTATCATCACCAATGCTCACATCTGAGTCTGGGATTTGGGAAAATAGGAGTTTCCTCTTTGATTCTGGTACAACTGAACGTGAACAAGACGGCCCAGCACCAGAGGTGGAAGGCTGTGGGTTGTCTGGGTTTTCCTCACTATTACCCATATTATGGTCATTAGTTTCGGTCAAAACCTCACCAGAACCTTGAAACTCATCTTCACTGTTACTTCCATCTGTATTAGAACTGTCACTGGGGAACAAAAGTGTCCCAATTCGCCGAGGAGTGAGGAACTTCTTACCGCAAGGCACGGTGGACATTGTGTACTATGATGGCATTCCCACAATGCACCACTGGGTCCCAGATTTTTTTCCTACTGCGCACACCCACCACACAGACCCATTCTCTCACATCTAGGCTTATCAGCCTTTTCCTGTGAGATTTGACAGCGCTAGAATTTATGCGTACTAGTACGTCAAAAACCCCTGCACGTAAGACGTACTAGTACGGCTGAAACCCTCAAAGGGTTAAGAAAAAAATAAAAGAAAATAAAAATAAAAAAAGAATAAAAAAAGGGGGACCGGGAAGGGATAGTTCCTAGAAGGAATGAAAGGGCCAGAAATCTCCCTCTGCGCCCAAGAGGACCTCAGCACTGCAAGTAGCGCAGATGCAGCATGGAACTCGTGCCATACCCTACCCTTCATGCCAGTAAACCAGCAATCTGGGATAGCAACCTCACATCTGCCGAGCTACCTCGGTGGACAAAAGAGAGGGTGGCTGGATATCCGCCACAAAGCATACCTCATTCGGCCACCACCCCCGGAATCCAAAAGGTGGCTTCCAGAGATACACCTGTCGCCCGAAAGACACCCAAAGCCACCCTCCGGGATACGGGAGAGGGATCGAGACATCCCCAGGTGATCCAGATCCCATGGCAAACTACGCCACCGCCAAGAACCTCAACGGAATGGGATGGACCCCGGTACCCTTCCCCCTACGTATGAACTAGTGTGCCTGTGGGAAAAATCCCAAAGGCCAAAAAGAGGAAGGGCAAAAGGGAGGGGTGGGGAGGAGGAGGAGGAAAGGAAAAAAGGGGAGGATGGGATAGGGAAGGGGGAGATTGGGGGGTAATTAGGTTCGGTCTGAGGAAGGAGACCGACAGGTCTAATTCCTCAGACCAAGAGCCTCTTCACTGCACCAAGGAGCCCCCCTTGAAGAGGCTTAGGTCAATAAAAAGTCCTAATGGATATTCCTTATTTTCCAGTGCTGTGTAAAGCAGATCTAGCATTTTTACAATTGCATCATAAGTGCTTTTATTTTTTCTGAAGCCAAATTGGCTGGGGTTGAGTATGTTTTGTGCTGTTATAAATGAATATAATCTCTTGTGCATGAGTTTCTTGTAGATTTTGGATAGTAATGGTAAGTTTGATATTGGCCTATAGTTGTTTACATCTGTGGGGTCACCACCTATATGTATTGGTGTAACCCTTGCTGTCTTGAGTAGTGTCGGGAAAGTGCTAGTTCCCAGTGACTTGTTAAAAAGTAACGAAATAGCATGCGAAAGGAGTATTAAGAGAATATCTTTTTAAATTGTGTCATGGAAGAGAATTTAGATTTCATTCAAGAACAGGAATACAAGCAACTCCTTTCATCAGTTCAACAACACAGGTCCCATTTCAAGGAACAGAACACTTACATGTTTGTACGAATTTACTTGTGGTTTATCAAGAATGATTCAATATTTTTTTTTATAATCTCTCAGCACTCCCATAGATTTTGTTTTTTGCTTCGTTCTTTTCTGAGCAGTTTTATTGAAAAAAAAATCAGATAAACTGATCACATTAGAATTTTTTTGCTGAATGAATTTTTAAATGTCTTGCTAAATTACCTTTTAATGAAAAATCTTTCAAACATTCTGAACACCGATATGGTTTCTTGCCTGTGTGGATCATCATGTGAGATATTAGGCGAGATTTTATTGAAAAACCTTTCAGACATTCTGAACACTGAAACGGTTTTTCTCCAGTATGAACACCCATATGTCTCGTTAGATTACCTTTCAATGAAAATTCTTTTACACATTGAGGACACTTAAATGGTCTCTCTCCTGTATGAATTATTGTATGTGATACAAGACGGGATTTTACCGAAAAACGTTTCAGACACTCTGAACACTGATATGGTTTCTCTCCTGTATGAATTCTCCTATGTCTTATAAGTTGAGAAGGGTCTGAAAAGCCTTTTAAACACTCTAAACATTGATAAGGTTTCTCTCCAGTATGAATCCTCATATGTATTACTAAATCAGACTTATTTGAGAAGTTTTTCAGACACTCTGAACATTTATATGGTTTTTCCCCAGTATGACTTCTCATGTGTATTTCTAAGTTACATTTTACTGAAAATGATTTTAAGCATTCAGAACACTGATACGGCTTCTCTCCTGTATGAACTCTCATATGCATTACAAGATGGGACTTTATTGTGAAGTCTTTCAAACATTCTGAACAGTGATATGGTTTTTCTCCTGTATGAGTTCTCATGTGTGTTACTACAGAAGACTGTACTGAAAAGCTTTTTAAACATACTGAACAGTGATATGGCTTCTCTCCTGTGTGAATTCTCATGTGCAATACCAAATGATGTTTCCTTGAAAAGTTCTTTTCACACACTGAACACTGGTATGGTTTCTCTCCTGTATGAATTCTCATGTGTGTTATAACAGAAGATTGTACTGAAAAACCTTTAAGACAAACTGAACAATGATATCGCTTCTCTCCTGTATGAAATCTCATATGCATTACTAAGTAAGCTTTACTTGAAAAATCTTTATGGCACACTGAACACTTATAGGGTCTCTCTCCAGTGTGAGTTCTCAAATGTAATATCAAATGGCATTTTTGTGAAAAGTCTTTAAGACATTCTGAACACTGAAATGGTTTCTCTCCTGTATGAGTTCTCGTGTGTGTTACTAAATCGCCTTTTCTTAAAAAGTCTTTTTGGCACACTAAACAAAGAAATGTTTTTTTTCCAGAATGTGTTTTCATATGTGTTTGGAAATAAGTGTTTTTTGAAAACCCTTTTAAGCATTTTGGACACTGATACGGTTTTTCTCCTGTATGCATTCTCAAGTGCATTAGTAAATTAATTTTTTTGGCAAACCCTTTTGCACACACTGAACACCTGTATGGTTTCTTTCCAGTATGAATTTTTGTCTGTGTTTCTAAACAATATTTTTTTGAAAAGCCTTTTACACACTGTGAACACTGATATGATTTCTCTCGTGTGTGAGTTTTCATGTGAGTTTGTAAATAGGATTTTTCTGAAAAAACTTTTAAACATTCTGAACATTGGTGTGGTGTCTGTCCTGTATGAATTTTTGTGTGTGTTTTTAAATAAGACCTTCGTGAAAATCCTTTCAGACATTCTGAGCAGTGATAAGACTTCTCTCCAGTGTGAATTCTACTATGCATAATTAAATTAGCTTTTCTTGCAAAAGCTTTTGAACATACTGAACATTTGTAGGGTCTTTCACTGGTATGAGTTCTTATATGTCTTATTAAGTTTGCTTTCTGCTTAAAACCTTTCAGACACTCTGAACATTGATATGGTTTTTCTCCACTTTGAATTTTCATTCTAATTGTTAAACTAGATTCGCCAGAATATTTTCTCAAATTTTCTAAAAATTTTTTTGGTGTATCTTCCACAGGAACACTCACTGCTGGATCATATATTTTTTCAAGCATTTTAGACATTGTGAAGACCGATCTGGCAATCTTAAATTTGGACTCTAATATGACTTATATTTATGAATCACTTGATACATAGGTACTAATCATTATCTTGAAGTGAGCTATGAGATGCTAAATACTGACCAAATAGATGTGGTAAAGAATATTCCTAGGATTCTAAGTAATAATATTAAATATTCTTTGGGTACACTATGCTGAATGATATTGACTTCCAGCATTATTGTAAATATACAAATTTAATTAATAGCATATCTTCCATTTACACCCTGACATTTCCTAACACTTCAGTGTCCTGTATGATAGTGCTAAAACAAATTTGTATTGCATTATTTCTGTCACTTAAGTTGGTTTTACATCCTTGGGCACTGGTGCTCTTCCAGTGGCAAGGATGAGCTGGAAAAGAAAATAACAGATTAATAGGATTTAAAATTTTATATTCTGAGCTTCACTGGCATTCACAAATTCAGACTATATGAATTTTTATAATAAATGACAATAAAACGTGTGATTACAAATATATGAAAAATACCACAGTGAAAATAAGAAAAACCTGAGCTCTTTCAGGTGCTTACACATATATCTTCAGATGATATACATGTAAGCACAACCCAGTTGCATAATTAGAGAAACCTTATCAAACTATGTTTTTATAGCATTACCTAATGGAATAATCCATTCTCTTGAATGCACTGTAATTCATCTAATGACTATATGAACTGTTACTACACTACAGATCATTGATTTGATTAGATCTGATAATTAAATTATATGATTACATAATAGTAAACTGATCATTTTGTTATATTACTAACTGTAACGTTACAAAATTGTAAAACTATAATGCTTCAAAATTGAAATGTTCAAATTCATTGTTTAAAATAACTCAATTGTACTTGATATTGTAAATTGTCTACAGTAACTTTTACCATTAAATCTGTTATAGCTTAGATAGTCTTAAGTTAATTTTATCCTGCCCATAATGCTCTGCATACAAGGGGCTTTCGACATGTACGCCCAGCTACTATAATACCTTGTACAACTATGTATCATGTCCTAATAAAAATAAAATATAAAGTGCTGAGGGTTTTCTTATGTTTACTTTCACATATTTTATTAATACTTTTACATAAGCAGCATTTGAAACTTTCTTAAAACTTATACTTCCAAGACATTCATATTCACAGCTCCACAATATGACATAAGTACTGTATATTGTCTACAGTATATTCTGGTTTTTCACTGAGGCTTAAGACAACTAGTTAGAAGATACAGAAGTACAGTGGAACCTCTACTTGCGAGTTTAATCCGTTCCATGACCTTGCTCACAACTGGATTTGCTTGTTTGCAGAGTCAATTTTCCTCATTTAATTGAAATGCAATTAATCTGTTCCAGTGGAACAGATTAATTGCATTTACATGTATTTATCTATCTCACTTTATTTATCTATCTCACTTCATCTAATATGACATAAAAACAATATAAATATTAACATAGAAACCTGATATACACTCTAGAATGAATAAAATATGTCATTATATATGTGTCGGCAGCGGTGACGGCAGCCAACGAAAGTTTCTCTGGAGATAGTAAAAAATACTCCTTGAATATTTCGCTATCATCAACTCTACAGCTTATTTATCTATCACAGTTCATCTAATATGACATAACAAACAGTATAAATAACATAGAAACATGATATATACTCTAGAATGAATAAAATATGTCATTATATACGTGGTGGCGGCGGCTGACGAGAGTTTGTCTGGAGACAGGACAAAATACTCCTTGAATATTTCGCTATCATCAACTCTACGGCTTATTTATCTATCACAGTTCATCTAATATGAAATAATAAACAATATAAATAACACAGAAACCTGATATATACTATTGAATGAATAAAATTTATTATTATGTAACAGGTGGAGGCAGCCACAACCACTCCCTCTTCGTTGTGGTAATCACTGCCATCTAGTGATGGTCTTTTGAAGCTGTGTATTATAATTATTATTATGTAGTACATTATTATTATACATGTATTATTATTATATGTACAGTGGACCATCGGTTATTGGCCGTAATCCGCTCCAGAAGGTCGGCCGATAACCGAAATGGCCGAAAACTGAATTAATATTTCCCATAAGAATTAATGGAAATACAATTAATCCGTTCCAGACAAAAATATTCACAAAAAAAATAATTTTTTTAACAATTATGTAAATTTTTACATACCTTTATTGAAGGCTAATGCTGGCTTCTGGAAGATAGGGAAGAGGAAAGAGGGAAGAGTTAGTGTTTGGAAGAGGAATCCCCCTCCATAGAGACTTTAGGTAGCAAAGCTTTCTCTAAGGTTACTTTCCTTCTTTGTCTTTTAATGCCACTAGGACCAGCTTGACTATATATATACAGTGGACCCCCGCATACCGTCGGCATCACATAACATTCAATCCGCATACCGCTCGCTTTTATCGCAAAAATTTTGCCTCGCATACCGCTCAAAAACCCGCTCAACGCTGTTCGTCCGAGACGCGTCCAATGTGCGCCCTTAGTCAGCCTCACATGTGCCGCCGGTGGCATTGTTTACCAGCCAGCCTCCGCGGTAACATCCAAGCATACAATCGGAACATTTCGTATTATTACAGTGCTTTTGGTGATTTTATCTGCAAAGTAAGTGACCATGGGCCCCAAGAAAGCTTCTAGTGCCAACCCTACAGCAATAAGGGTGAGAATTACTATAGAGATGAAGAAAAAGATCATTGATAAGTATGAAAGTGGAGTGCGTGTCTCCGAGCTGGCCAGGTTGTATAATAAACCCCAATCAACCATCGCTACTATTGGTGGTACAGCTGCTGCTGCTGCTGTACCACCGTCAGCTGCTGCTGCTGCTGCACTGTCAGCTGCTGCTGCTGCTGTACCACCGTCAGCTGCTGCTGCTGCTGTAGTACCGTCTGCTGCTGCTGTAGCATCGTCTGCTGCTGCTGTAGCATCGTCTGCTGCTGCTGTAGCATCGTCTGCTGCTGTTGTAGCATCGTCTGCTGCTGCTGTAGCATCGTCTGCTGCTGCTGTAGCACTGTCAGCTGCTGCTGCTGTTGTACCACCATCAGCTGCTGCTGCTGCTGCTGTAGTACCATCTGCTGCTGCTGTAGCATCGTCTGCTGCTGCTGTAGCATCGTCTGCTGCTGCTGTAGCACTGTCAGCTGCTGCTGCTGTTGTACCACCGTCAGCTGCTGCTGCTGCTGCTGTAGTACCATCTGCTGCTGCTGTAGTACCGTCTGCTGCTGCTGTAGCATCGTCTGCTGCTGCTGTATCACTGTCAGCTGCTGCTGCTGCTGCTGTAGTACCGTCTGCTGCTGCTGTAGCATCGTCTGCTGCTGCTGTATCACTGTCAGCTGCTGCTGCTGCTGCTGCTGCTGCTGCTGCTGTAGCACCGTTGTTGGTGTGGCTTATTGAGAATACCAAGAAACAATTAACCCCAGAGGATTTGCCACCCAGGATAACCCAAAAAAGTCAGTGTCATCGAAGACTGTCTAACTTATTTCCATTGGGGTCCTTAATCTTGTCTCCCAGGATGCAACCCACACCAGTCGACTAACACCCAGGTGAGCAGGGAAAAATGCCAGGAACTAGTGCTCATATTGGTGAATTTAAAGCCAGCAAAGGTTGGTTTGAGAGATTTAAGAATCGTAGTGGCATACACAGTGTGATAAGGCCTGTTCTGGAAGAAAATGCCAAACAGGACCTACAGTACTCAGGAGGAAAAGGCACTCCCAGAACACCGTGTCTCATCAGTCATTGCTGCATCTTCAATAAAGGTGTCATTTATTCTTCATTTAGTAGAGTAGTACATGCACAATAAATATTGTGCATGTACTACTCTACTATTGTGCATGTATCCTTCTCTTTGTGTGTAGGAAAATGTATATTTCATGTGGTAAAAATTTTTTTTTCATACTTTTGGGTGTCTTGCACGGATTAATTTGATTTCCATTATTTCTTATGGGGAAAATTCATTCGCATACCGATCATTTCGCATAACAATGAGCCCTCTTGCACGGATTAAAGTTGCTATGCGGGGGTCCACTGTACAGTGGTCCCTCGATAATCGTAGTTCTCGAGAATCGTAAATTTCGGAAATCATAGGGATATTTTCATATAAACATGGGCTCACTAATCGTAGATTGACTCGCAAATAGTAGTTCGTCTGGGACAGGTAAACACAGCCCCTAGCCGCCTTACACTCCTTTCCCAGCCAGTGTGCCATTGTTTATCAGTGAGTGAGGATGATCCCACCAGTTCATATGATATATTTCATATTATTCCATTTGTTTTAGTGTTTGCAACTGCTAAATAAGTCACCATGGCTCCAAGGAAAGCTTCTAGTGCCAGCCCTTTGGTAAAGAATGTGAGAAACACATATAATTTAAGAAAAAGTTTGTAGAAAAATATGAAGGTGGTGGTGGTAGAGTGGAAGCAGTTGTGATAGTGGTTGATGGTGGTAGAGATGGTTGTAGCAGTTGTAATAGTGGTAATAGTTGTAATAGTAGTTGTAATACTGGTTCTTATGTTATTGAGGCTAGGACTTTGGGTAGTTTCAAATTTACGTTGGATAAATATATGAGAGCGAGGGGTTGGATTTGAGTGGGACTTGCAAATGAGTGGATAGTTATCAAAGCTTATTTCTTGGGTGGCATTGAAAATTAGGTTGGGCAAATGTTTTGTTAGTGGGATGGATTAAGAACCTGCCTAGTATGGGCCAACTGGCCTGCTGCAGTGATCCTCCATTCTTAAGTTCTTAAGGTGGTAGCATTGTAATAGTGTTAGAAGGTGGTAGTGATGGTGGTAGAGGGTGTCTTCTTTAGTGATTCAGCAATTTATCAAAGCTTATTGCTTGGGTATAGCAGTTATGCTGTTAGTGGGTTGGATTTGTGAAGGACCTGCCTAGTATGGGCCAACAGTCCCTCAACCTTGAGTCGATGTGGTCAGTCCATCAATCTTGTGTAGAATACGGCATAGAGTAGAATACGGTAATCAGTCCCTCAAGGTTGAGGGACTGATTACCTAATTCTCCTCCTATTCTTCAAGCTTTTCCTGTGTATGGACTGATGAAGCCACTGTGTGGCAAAACGTTTCCTTAATAAAGATACCCAAGAGTTGGACATGTGTCTAATTTATCAACGTGTCGGTTCTGTGAACCATTCATCTACAATCCTGTCAGACACTGCAACTTCTTTGGATCTTAATAAGAACATAAGACCATAAGAATGTAGGAACACTGCAGAAGGCCTACTGGCCCATACGAGGCAGGTCCTTATCAAAACGATCTCTACCCAAAGCTACCCAAGAAATAACTCCCATACCCCATGACACCAATCAAACCCAGTCCCTCCCACTCATATATTTGTCCAGTCCCTTCTTAAAGCTACCCAAGGTCCTAGCCTCTATCACCCCA